TTTCAACGCCTAAAAAGCTTTTTTATGTCAATTTGGCAGGCTATTTATAGCCAATTTCACTGCATGGACCTACCGAGGAGAGGAAAATGGATGAGGATATTTAACAACTCTTTGTATCTCTTCTTCCTGGCTGTGTGGTGCACCTCAGAGTCTCTCCTCTCAGCATCAGAGACGGATTGATAAATAACGCTACTCAAGCAAAAGATTTGCCCCCCACTAACATTCAGCATGTCTGAACAATGCATGCATTCTGGCACTGACACTAAGTATTATGATAATGTAGTGCTCAGCGAAATGATGGATGTTAAACAGCACGACCTGGCTGCACTACACACTGGCGATCACCATGCCCGCAAATAGTGTCAAGTCATCCCACGCACTGTATACAGCTCCCTGACGACACACAAACTATCAAATCGGCATTAAAGGCAACAGTCTCTAGCAGTATAAGGCTGGATATAATTATCTGTTAAGAGATGGAAAAAAAATGTTCTCTGAACAGACTAACCATTCGGTTACACTCCTCTACCCAACTGTACAGGAAATCACAAAACAGAAAATTACCAGGATATTTAAGTCCCTGGAGATACCCTAAATGCTCAAAGTAAGAAAGCACATAACATCTGTTCAAATTGTTGCATTGCAATCCACATGAATTAGTCATGAGCTAATCTGACATATTTTGATCAGTTCTTAAATCCATAATTATGGTGCAATTTTTTTGTCATAGGCCTCGAGCTGTGAAAAAAGGCAGTGCTGCAAATCATCCATTAGGCATGTTTTACTGATTGACGCCAACAGTTATATATCTGTAACAAGTCAAATCTTTCTCACCCACGAATTAGACATGAAGAGGAATTTCAAACTAAAAGTCAAATTAAATGTATTGCATATTGCAAAAATAATAATGTTTTCAGGTATCATGGAGGCAGAGTTTTTATAACATCCTCTGGTTCTCTGATACCGTGCTGTGAAAAATGTTTATGTTGTGGGGAAAAAAGAAAGTTGATTGAATTTCTGATGATGTTACAATATTGAGAGCCTTCCGGGCCTCTGACATAAAAGACTGCCACTATACATTGGCATGTTGTGCATTGTTGTGAACGAAGCCTGTAAGCTGCTTTATAAACCCCTGTGTAATATGCACGCAGCTGCCTTATTAGGCACAAGTAGGTGTTGCTTCAGCTTTATAATACTTTTTGCACTTTAAGTTTTTTGTTGTTAAACTGTATTTAATTCAATAAAAAAGGCGTTTCTTTGTTTTAATTTAGCTTAGCTGCACAGATTGAAACAGGGTGGTCAAAATAATATCAACATGTCTCCACATTAAATAAATGAAGGAATTGTTGAATTATTAAATTAAATTCAATGCCCCAACTGCAGTCTTCAAAATGAACACAAAACAAAAATTGAATATTGAAACTATGCAGATAAAACTGTTGCATGAGTATTGTATTATGTCACATTAGCCTAAACTCGATGTTCTCTAAAGTGGTAACTGAGTGCACATACTGTGCACTAAAGATTACAGCAAAATATTATATTGTATAGAGCCAAGTAAACGACTCAAGCTACAGCGTTGACAATGGTTACACAGCAACAACACTTATCTATATTGATTAATACCATCTATATCAGCAGACAATCAACAGGCATAAATAAAACTATCTATTGTGGACTGTAGTAGATAAAGATTACCTCAGGAATTTCTACTGGACAGCAGTGAGTCTGGGATTCATGTGAGTCTAACATCTACCAATTATTTCTCAAATGACATCCCAGATGAGTCCATACTTATAAAACTTACATACTAGACGTATTTTGGCCAGTGTTTTGGACAAATACGTTATATTACAGAATTTGCACTGCTAGACCACCAAACTGCATTGCACTGTTTAGAGACCTTCATTAAACCTGCATTTATTTATTTAGTTACTTATTTATCCGACACTGTCAGCAGTGAAAAACAAACCTGTGAACAGGATAAGACATATTATTTGACTTTAAGTTGATTTGAGACTCTTGGTATCACTTGATAACAGTTTTGTTGGTTTGTTTGTTTTGTTTTGTTCATACATCTATGCAGCAGACTAAGAGCATTAGCTTTCATTTGATCTTATTTTTCTCTGAGCCTGATAAATGGGAACTTATTTGCGTTGCATTTTCAAAATGATTCTACTTTTAAAAAAAAAAAACTTAAAAAAACAAACAAACTGCCCACTTCAGTCAAAATCAACATGAGGACAACAGCAACAGTGAAGCAAAACAGTAAATTTGAAACCGCCCCAAAAATAAAAGAGTCAATCCTAAAATCTTTTACAGGGATCCACAGAGCTTACCGGAGCTGTAGAATAAGGTGATTATTTTTTGTGTATGTATTACTCCTTGCATGACTCCTAACTTGTTTTAAATGTTTTAAATACAGAAAAGATCAACTAGACATATTGTACAACAGTGCATATAAAATATATAATAACAATGTGATGGTGTTTGGATCAATCGCATGTCACCTTTTATTTTGGCAGGTAAAAAATGGAATAATTGCAGTAAAACTGTTTTTCTTTCTTTCTATAATTTTAATTTCAAATTCTTTTTTTGTTGTTGTTGTTGTTGTTTTGTTTGTTTGTTTTTTACCTATTTTTTATTTGATACATAACAATTAATTTATAATTCAATTCATTTAAAACATGGAACTTAATTAATGACAGACTTAAGTTAAACATGTCTTGTTCACTGTGTTGTTTATAGGACATTTTGTCTTGGAAAACCTGTAGCCCTTCTTTCAAAGTTAAGTAATTCATTTTACCTTCGGTTCCCCTACAAAAGCTTCCAGTGTCAGAATGATCAGTCTGTTTGTAGTTTACTCTTTTCTCCTTGAGTGACACAGCTGATTTTACACTATATCTACTTTGTTTTGTTAATGTCACTAATCCCATTTTCTCACTCTTGTACTTTCTTGCTTCAGTCTAGAGATGTCACACATTGGCACAGCAGGGCACATGAGCATGGTTTAGATGAGTGGCCAATAAGAAAAACTCATCCATATAATGCATTGGTAAAATCTTATTAAAAGTGCACGCCTGTGCTCCCAAAGTGACTTTGAATGTCACGCGGGATGAAGTGGGCATAATGCGAACATCAGAGTGGCCTTGGTGGAGGATGATTTGAACAGGCATACAGCTTTGGAACAGGATTATCCTTCCCGAGGCAACTATCCTCCAGAGTGTTGACATTCAGGGATGGTTGAGGACAGGCGTAAACAACACGGATATCAGAAATATTGTTTTAATCGATCATCAGGCTCCATAGAGGAAAACCAGAAAGACAAGAAGCAGGTTGAACACCAACAGCTGATGGCTGGAGAAACAGGTGGTGCATGGAGATCCTCAGGGCTGCACACACAAGAAAGTAATGGTGAGCCTTCGCTCATTTCTCCCACTAGAGCGCCTGACCAGTCTAATCAATAAGATCATGAACTACTGCCACTGAATTACATATCATACATAATTTTCCCACCTGGTGAATTATTTTTTGAGAGTGAATTGCATGTGAATTCAGCACCAGTGGTGAATATGTGAATGTGTGTTATTTGCCTGTGTGCTGTCTCAGTGCAAGTGTCTGTCTGTGTGCACACATGCATGTGTGTGCGTGTGTGTATGAGAAAGAGAGCAAAAGAGATAATTAAAGCATAATCCAAAACTATATGTATGTATATAAATTGTTTCTCAATACAGTGCTCTTTAACTTAAAGATAAACTGATTTCTGGTTATATTTATATAAGTAATAATAATCCTACCAAATAAACGTAATAAGTACGTAATATGAATAATAATAACAATAATAGTAATAGTAGTAGCAGTAGTGCAAGTAGTCTCACAATAAAGATAAAAAGTTAGACATTTTTTATTGTAGCTTCTTAAATAGATTACTAACTGAGAAAATAATGTATAATAAAAGACTTTAAATATATGATAATGATCAAAATTTAAATTTTAATAAAATGTTTTGAAATTGTTGCAATCACATTAAGTTAATGACAAAATTTTATAGCAACAGTACAGGAAGGAATAAGTTGAACAAGACTTAAACTTTGAATTGTGGACTTAAAAAAGAAGAAAAAATAATTTAAGCTTGTCTAGAAATACAAAGCCGAATTGCACACTGGCATTCATTACTATCACTGTAATTAGAACCGATCGATCCGTGATTATCCGTTACGTGTCTGACTAATTACTAAGTGTACACAGATCCCGCTCGTTTTGGACAATAAGGGTTCGGGGGTGAAAAGAGCAAGCGAGAATGCAATATGTGCTGGAGCCAAGCCTCTACTATCATCCTGCTTTGTACTTCCTGACTGCAACCCGCCCACGGAGCCCCGTTACAATACAGCTGCCATGTAAGTAGTATTTTCCACAGCTAATGACGTCCGAAAAGTAGAAAACATATCAGCCCGCTGAAAGGTCAAAGCAGCTTGTCAGCACCACGTTAATCGCCGATTTTGATTGTCTGATAATGGCTTACATTTTCAGCTCCCCGGAAAGTATTTACTTCTCGCTGATAATATACAGCAAATGTGATGGATTTTTTAAAATGGAATTCATGCGCCTGCACAGCTGCCTGTCCCGTGTCCCGCCCCCTTAACTGGCCTTAACGGGGATGCTGAGCACATGATAGTAAATGTAAACACACAAAGGCATTTTCAGCTGTAGTATTCACGTGGATTGTCTGGTGGCGGTAACAATTAACCCTGCACTTCCAAGCCGTTCACTTCCACGTGTTCCCCCTCTCACGCCTCAGACGTATTTGTGTGTGTGCCTCTGCGTGTGCGTGTGTGCGTTCGAAGCCACTACGGGGCTCCCACACTGTCCCAAACATCTGCAAATTAGCACACTTTTCATGCCCTCTGCCCCAGAACTGAGCCGGGACGTTCTTTGTCACTACTTTGCGTAAACCTTTTCTCAATCCCTAAAGCACCATAAAAGTAGTCAAAACAACCAACCTTTATGCATTCCCGTAAACCTGTCTTTCAGAACAGTGAGTTCGTATATCTTTCCGAATTCCTCAAACAGGGGTTTCAGGTCTTTTTCCTCCAGGTTTCTGGGAATCTGCCCGATGAAAAGCTTGATGGCGTCGTGGTCCTTCATTGGAATGGTGTTCTGGCCGATGGTAAGCCCGTTCATCCTGCCGGCGCTGTTCGTGGTGCTGAATCCATTCTCTTGCTGCACTCCGTTTGCAGTGACTGTAGCCATCTTTCCTCAATGGGCCGGCGGGCTGCTCTCTCTCTCTCTCTCTCTCTCTCTCGCTCTCTCTCTCTCGCCTCTGTGTAGTCAACTGCACATTGCACACTCCCCCCCTCCGTTATATCTTCCTGTCTCCCCACTCCTCCTCCGGTTCTCCCTCCCTACCCTCTCCTGTCCTTCCTTTACAGGCTAAGCCGCTTTGTTTGGAATCAGTATTATTTATTTATTTATTTTTCTTATTCTTTATGAGTTTTTATTTTTTCCGCCCCCCCCCCCTCCCCACACACACACTCACACCCCATCACCACCGCCACCCCCAAGCTGCCACTCTGTCCCGTGACGTCAGCTCGTACTCTTATGAATACACCACGCCCACCATCTGATTTGCATAATGAGTTCGACCAAGGCGAATGGGAGAGCAGGTTGACTAAGGACCCCACAGGGCAGAGTAAGAACTCAAACATTTGGGTAGAGTGTAAAGGTTGGGACATTTAAATGATGCAAATTCAACATTAGTGCTTCTTCCCCAGCTTATCTGCGGTGGTTTAAGTTTGTCTCGGAGAGCAAAATTTGATGCTCCTTTTGGCGGAAAAATATTGACCTGATTTTAAACTAGTTTTAGTTCATCTCTAGTTTGTAATTTATTAATAATAGAAATCAATCAAAATCTAAATTCCTTTTAATGACTTAAATGTTAAGAGAACCAACCCTGCATTTTTGTATTTTGTATAAAAGAAGATTCACGATAGGTACGCAGTGTTACTAAAAATGCTGTCCTCATAACCCTTCTTTGGTGTGGTGAACGTATTTGCCCATGTTATATATCCCCTGAGGTAAATAATGTGATTTATCTGGTATACTGGGGTAAAAAAAAAAAGTCTATGAGATGTATAGAAAGAAAAGCAGGAGAGTTGTATGTCTTAGCACCAGTATTGAAAAACACTCTTATGAACCCTTGTAGAAATGATCTTTACACCAGCAGTTCTCAGGAGACAGGTCCCTGTTGATTTTCATTGTAACCATCTAACAAGGACTATTGTACGCCTGGGACACCCGGTGAATTCTACTGGTGGAGCAGAAAAACAACACGGGTGGGATACATAAAAGCTCATATCTATGCTTTGGTCTACTAGTCTACTGTTCAATATTTATTGGTAGAGTTCTTTAAATAGAAGTACCAATGACTACATGTTTTAATACGCAATACAGTCATAAGTCTACAATCATGCAGAAATCTGAAAAACTTAGTGCAAGGTCATCTAACTTAGAATGACCCTGGAGGCTTTGAGATTTTATCCAGATGAAGAATTACATTTAGTATAGTGTTTGTGGACACTTCAGTATTTTTTGTCTAAGACAAATTCTTTCAAGATGTCACCCTCTTAATTAAAAAAAGGACCTATAAAATATTGAAAATTTAGATTACTAAATTGGCATCGCAAGTTATGCTCCAAGTCTTCATATGCGTTTTGACATTTTGGCTTGTTTGTTTGTTTTTGTTTTTTTAAACTGTTTTCTTCAAAATAGCAGTAGATACTCTGCAAGCTCACTAGATAATTTCAGATTCTTGGCATATTTATCTTTGATTTGAAACTATAGCTGATTTAATAAAAAGGTGATTCTGAAAGAAACTAGTAGCTTTCCGGGTGTTAGAATCATCTGCAATGTCTGAGTGAATAACTAAAAAGTTTGCCACAACCTTCGTAGTACAAGAGTTTTAATAAAATAAAACATGTTTTTCTTTCTCACTGAGATAAAGGCAAGGAGGTAGCGAGAAAAAAGGTGAAGAGAATAAAATAGTGTTTGAAATAATGTTAGCTGAAACCTCTGGATTTAAAGCCGCTGTCTGTCACTGTCCATGGTGCTGAGCCAGTGCTGCCATTCATAGACCGTGAAATAGATTGGAGCTACAGTTTTAACAGTACGTTTGCACTACAAATTCTCCATACATTCTATCTAAGTCCTATGAACCTTTACGAACCTTTCAGGCCTTTTCACGATGCAGAGAATGATGCATTCAGCGCCACTATCCATACAAGAGCCTTCCTCTTCATGCAAATAAGCATGTGCATGAGCAGTGTTTCATAACTTGCCATGTATTTTGTACAGTGAAACCTATAATTGATGCACATGTGAATATGAAGTTCATGCAAGGCCAGTCAAGACCATATTGATATAGATAATTATGCTTAATTATGCAAACTGGCATTTATGTAGATCCTGCCATGCATCAATCGTTGACTGTATCTGATAAGTTCAAGAGGTGAAGTTCTATACCTGACCCTGGCCTCTGTTCCTCTTGTTGAATTCTGGGAAGAAGAAAAAACAGTCATTTGGGACAAATATAAAATCCCTGAAAACTGCATGTTTACTGAAGTGTATTCACCAGACATGCTTAACCTCTGTAAGGTCAGAATTAATTGGGTACTAAAAATATGTCGTTAAATAATAAAGATTTCTTTGTACTGCTGCTTCTGCTAATTAGTACAATAATGGATCTTCACAAAATTTAACATTTTCATTGCTGTACCTATCTATCTATCTATCTATCTATCTATCTATCTATCTATCTATCTATCTATCTATCTATCTATCTATCTATCTATCTATCTATCTATCTAT